AACTTAGCCGGCCGGTGCCATATGTTTTAAATCAAAAACAGTTTAGTTGCTTGATACATATAATCTTGACCTGTAATAGCACCATCCAAATTCAAACTTGCATAATGTATAAATAATAATAATAATAATAATAAAAATCTGTTTAAACAAAAATAATGTATAAATAAAATAAACGGTTTAATGTATAAATAAAATAAACGGTTTAATGTAAAATAATGTATACAGTATTAAACAAAAATAAAATAAAATAAACGGTTTAATGTAAAGTTTTGATACATTTTATATTTGTCGGACAAAAAAAGCAATTTTATTTTATTTTTAACATATTCCAACATAATTTGAAGGAACTCACCGACAAATTATGGGCTAAGCAACTCCATTATACCCAAAGCCCATTCCGCTTCTTCTCTCCTCTTGATCAGTCTCACTGACTTCAGGAGAAACATCTCGTAGCTCTGATAATAATGGCGGATGAAATCAGGTTCTTCGAGCTCAACACCGGAGCCAAGATACCATCGGTGGGTCTCGGAACCTGGCAAGCTGAACCTGGCCTCGTCGGAAACGCCGTCGAAGCCGCGATTAAGGTTCGTCTGCGATTCACAGCTTCGTAGTCACTAAATTGCTGATTTCTCCTTTTTTGTTTGTTAAGTCAATCATAATATACCTAAATTGATTTACACAATTTGATCGGAAATACTATGCAGAGCGGTTATAGGCACATTGATTGTGCTCAAATCTATGGCAACGAAAAGGAGGTAACCAAAAATCATCGATTTAGCAAATTGTCGTTTCAGATTTCAATTCCATAGGAACATCAATATTTGCCCCTGACAACTTCTTGCTCCTGTAGATTGGATTAGTCTTGAAGAAATTGTTTCATGATGGAGTCGTTAAGCGTGAGGAGATTTTCATCACATCGAAACTCTGGTATTTTGCATCACTGTGCTTTAATTACCTTATAGATTGTTTCTTCTTTCGTAATCAGTTTTAAAGTCTATGTAGCTTCTAATTGGTTACCTGCTCATATGAAAGGTGTACTTATCATGATCCTCAAGATGTGCCTGAGGCATTGAATAGAACTCTACAAGATCTGCAGCTTGACTACGTCGACCTGTATCTCGTAAGTAATATATTAGAAAACCGTGTTTTGTTTTCCGTTAGAGAATTATCCATGTGCGTTTCTATCAAACAAGACTTGCAGGGATCCATTGACTTTAATTTGCCAAACCATTTGTAATTTCGATTGACCAATAGTTGTTGTGATCCTTTTGAAGATCCACTGGCCAGTTAGCCTCAAGAAAGGTTCTACTGGTTTTAAGCCAGAGAACATTTTGCCAACTGATATTCCTAGCACATGGAAAGCAATGGAAGCACTCTTTGATATGGGAAAGGCCCGAGCTATTGGTGTAAGCAATTTCTCCTCAAAGAAACTAGCAGATCTCTTGGACGTGGCTCGTGTCCCTCCCGCAGTTAACCAGGTGGAATGTCACCCTTCATGGCAACAAACTGTGCTCAGGGATTTCTGCAAATCTAAAGGCGTTCACCTCTCCGTATGTAGAACAAACATGTTCATATCCTTTTTTTTTGCAAATCTGACGAAAGATTTCAGAAGATTAAACATTCGTTGATTTTTTTGTAGGGATACTCTCCGTTGGGTTCTCCAGGGACAACGTGGCTCAAGAGTGATGTTCTAAAGAACCCGGTTCTTGGCGTGGTTGCTGAGAAGCTTGGCAAGACTCCTGCACAAGTTGCATTACGCTGGGGTCTCCAAATGGGTCAAAGTGTTCTTCCAAAAAGCACCCATGAAGACAGGATCAAACAGAATTTCAATGTCTTCAATTGGTCCATACCCGATGATTTGTTATCCAAGTTTTCTGAGATTGAACAGGCAAGTTATTTTCCGCTCATCATCGCAGTCCAAATAGGTCAAAACTGTTCTCTGTTTTGCTCCTATGCTCGGGTTATCTGAAGTTGAAGTTGTGTGTTTCAATGCTGCAGGGTAGGTTGGTGAGAGGCATGTCATTTGTTCATGAGACGAGTCCTTATAAGACTCTTGAAGAACTTTGGGATGGTGAGATATGAGACTCATCGGAATAGATCATTCCATGTGCCAAATCATTCAACAATATGTCATTGATCGAGTCATTAGTAATGCAAGTTGTTTCTTACAGAGAGGTACAACACTTACTCATAAACTCCCTCCAGTAGACCCACGTTTCCAGTTTTTTCTTCAGAGAAGACATTGCTGTTCCATTTATATTCGATGCCAATCCATTATTAGGAAGTTTGTATGCAAGTTATAATTAATAGTATGTTGCGTATATTTGAAGATGGTAACACGTACATTTTATATATTTATTGTATAACACGAAAAAGAAAACACACTTAAACACTAGAGAAATAAGACATATAATGGCGTGCCGTAGGAGACGAGCCATTTCAAAAGATGTCGGTTAGGAATTTAGTGGCTGGATCACATATCATATTGCAGACAACACCAATCGATAGAGTCGTCAGAAGGGCAAACATTCTTCTTCCTATACTCGGACTCAACCGTTGAACCTGACCTTGATTTGTATATCCGTGATTGTAAAACTGAGAATGGTCAAACTGCGGTTTCTGAGTTGCCGCCCCTGCTGATGCAGATGACGTAACGCATTCCATGTGAACATCTAACCTGCATTGACCACACTTGTACCGCCAGGACTGGATTGTACGGAGGCAAACCTCACATGTGTTGCTAGCTCCAGAGTGGCTCAGCTCTAAGTGATGGGCCGGGTGAGGCACATACGTCACGTGCTGAGGCAGCCGCGTGCAGAGTGGGTGGATGTCAAAGTCGCAAGGCTCGCAATGGTAATAGAGCCCCTCAACTGATTCGTCACAGATATCGCACATACGTCTGATTTGGAGCCCCTGGTCTGGTCTTCTGAAGACTAGCCGGAGCTGGTGCTGTGGATGCATAAAGCTGAGGAGGGTAGGGGGACACGTGGCACAGTGATCGTGGAGATCGTAGTCGCATGAGACACAACGGTAGGTCTCCCCAAAGCCGTAGGTGTTGCAGCCATTGCATGTGAACTCGCCATATCCGTCAACCTTGGTTAATGGATGGACATGGGTGAAATGTTGGATTGGCATCAACGAGGACATTTCCTTGATTTTTTTTTTACGTTTAATTTCCTTGAGAATGGTTAGGATTTTGTAGTATTTTATTTCGTAGTATTGTTTGGGAAATAAGCAAGAACTTTGGGATTAGTTAGGCATGGTTACAATTCGTTAGACCTTATCAAATTGGAGAATAGTTGACTTGACTTGGCTAGTTGACTGACCATATTTGCCTGTATGGTCAACGTGGTCCCCTTTTTTTTTTTAATAATGTAGGACTTAAGAAAGGGAAAGAAGTTCAATTGCTTGTTGATGAATTTAAGACGCAATAGCAGCTGGTGAATACCAATTAACGCACTCCACGTAAACATTCACCGTGCACGGATCACACGATTGTACCGCCAAGACAATATCGCGTCTTGCAAACCATGCTCGTTCCGTATTGGTGAGGCATGCATAAATTGACGTTGCTTTGTGCAGCGTGGATGTAAATCGATAAGG